TCTAGTTCTTCTTGTCTCATAGTCATATCGGCTGAGGATCGTATAGTGTACCAGTCCCTTGGACTAATTGTTTCCATGCATCTTTGGTTTTCTTCATTCTTCTTTGCTGTGGATGAGGGGAGACTCATCGTTGTAGCTAGATGGCCGTTTGCAAGCTTTTAAGTCCCAGTCACTACTCACCAAAGTAGAAGTTGGAACAAAGTTTTTGTATAGCATGTTATGCCAATTGAGCTTGATATCCCCTGCGACTATGGTCCTGAGCCCACAGGTCCAACTATTCACTCCTCTGGGTTGCTGGCTGTGGTCATGAAGTGACTACAACCTTGTCTCTTGTCAGCTCTACTATATATCTGGGAATTCCTATAGAACATACAGATCCACTTATAGAAACACTGTCTGTCAACCCTATACATGGTCATGGGCACACTCCCCTCAGCACAGACATACCTAACAGTTCAGCCTGTCCACCTATCTCTCTACCCATATGTCAGTGTTTGCCTTCAGTTCAGTACTGTATGTGCAAAAGGGTTCATCTTTGTTGTCTGTACCTCCCATGCACCTCTCTATATCTTCCTCTTCCTCAACGCCACCATGTTGATCACTCACATTTGGTACACTGTCCTTCTCTTCACTAAAATAGGGTAAAGTTTTCCTGCCAAGAATATGAGAGAGGTATAAGGGAGTTGAAGATTTTTTCAAGTGAGAGATATTATGAGGCTGGACCATGGAATCTAAGCTGAATCTGGAGAGAATAAAAGATAGAAGGAAGCCAATGGATAGAAAGTGGCAGAGCCAACAAATTAGAGTCTCAATGAAGTTTAACCATAGTAGTAGGAAATACACAACAAGCTAATGGAACAGTAGGTGATGGTGTTAGAAAAAAGGAGTATTTTTAAAAGACTTGAAAGCTGTACATTTTATGCTGCTAATAAGGACTAAAGCTAGCATAGAATGGAGTGAAAGATAATTAAAGGTAAAATCAATAAACTAAGAGTCCATTTTGTTGGAGAAGTCAATTTTATAAATACTGACAGAAACCACGAAAGTTGTTGGCAACAGTTAGTGGCAGAGAAAGAGAGACTATATGCTAGAAGTTAAGGTCTCTGATAACTGAATAATGATGATGACAGATAACATTAAAAATGTGGGGAAGAAGGTAAGAGAGTCAAATGAATTTAGAAAAGCCTTCATATTAATTAGAATTTCTTTAATGATTACCATTAAGAATAAGAAGGCTAGCAATTCAAACCCACCAGTGACTCCTCAGAAGAAAGATTGGGCAATCTACTTCTGTAGAAATACTGCCTCAGAAACCCAAGGAGGGGTCTCTATGAGTCAGAAACGACTCAATGGCAGCGAGTTTGGTTTGTTTTTTTTTTTTTTAGATTTTCATTAAACTTTGCTTCTGCTTTTATTTTTCACATTTAATTCTATTCCATATGGCTTTGACTTAGGTATATGAAATGATGTAAAGCATTAACATTTCTGAAATAGTTATATAACTGTCTTAGTACCACTCACTAAATAATCCATTCACTCCCAAAAGTCTGTATTCCTAACAATTATATAAATGTTTCCCTTCCTGGAGGTCTCTTTCAGCCAAATAATAGATTGGTCTATAAAGTAAACAGTAACACCCAAGAGGAACGTGCCTGTACAAAGTCAACAACACAAGAACAAATGGTCAATATTCACACAAAAGCAAAGATGAGAAGGCAGAGAAGCTAGATGGATGGAAATAGGAAAGGCAGTATGGAAACAGTAAGAGTGCTTACACATTGCAAGGACTTTAACCAATACCACAGAAAAATCTGTGTATGAATTGTTGAATGAGAATGAAATTTGCTGCATAAACTCACAACTAAAATATAATTAAAATATTCACACTCAAAAAAAAATGTTTCTCTAACTCTACACTTAATCTTTGTATACAACTAAACCACCAAACCTTGCTATCAAGTTGATTCCAACTCATGGTGATCCTATAGGGCAGAGTAGAACTACCCTAAAGTGTTTTCAAGACTGTAAATCTTTAAAGAAGCATACTGCCTCATCTTCCTCCCACAGAGCAGTTGGTGGCTTTGAATTGACAACCTTTGGGTAGCCAAATGCTTTAATCACTGTACCACCAGAGCTCCTTAATCTTTAGATATAAGCATCTCAAATACAACATATCTAGAAAAGACATTTTGATTACCCACTCCCTAGCCCAAAGTCAATTTTCCACTCAGCAGCTAAAATGTCCTTTATAAGTCAGAAGCAGTGCTGTCTTTCCATAGTTTAATGGCTTCCTAAACTCCTTTCTAAAATCTAAAAGGTCCTGTGTGATCCAGCCCCTGTCTACCTGTCACCTCCTACCACTCTCCTCCCTGTTCATTTTACTTGCCTTTCTGGCCTCTTCACTATTATAGTACTCCAATAAGCCAAACCACTTGCCTCTGGCTTTTGCACTAGTCATGTTCCTTAGCAACATGGCCCATTCTTTCACTCTGTTTAGGTCTCTGTCATCCTTTCTGACAACTCCACATCCCCCACCCATCACATGCAGAGGCAGGGGTTAGCAAACCACAGCTCATGGACCAAATATAGTTTACTGCCTGTTCTTATACAAAAGTTGTATTGGAACATAGCCACACATTTGTTTACATATTATCTATGGCTACTTTAATGCTATTGCAGCAGGGGTGAGTAGTTACAACAGAGACCATCTGGCCCATAAAGTGTAGAATAATTATTAATTGGTTCTTTAAAGAAAAAAGTTTGCCAATCCTACTTCTAACTCATTCCTATGCTTTATTCTTCTTCAAGTCTGAAATTATATATATTTGTTATCACCTCTTCTAAAACTAAGGTCCACAAGACTGGGGACATTGTCTTATTCATCTAACACCTAGAAAAATTCATGTATCAGAATCGATACTAAACAAATTCCTGAAAAGGAATTAACCAAAGGCTCATTCTGTGCCCAGCACTATAGTAAGTTCTTTATAAATATTCTCTGAATTAGTTCTCATAGTAATCTTTTGGGATCTTTATTATTATTGCATTCATTAACAAATAACAAAATTGAGGTTTAGATTAAGTAGTAGAGTCAGGATTAAAAGTCAGATTTTTCTGATGCTAAAGACCATATACCAGCCAACTCCTCGGAAGGAAGATGGGGCAATCTACTTCTGTAGTGATACTGCCTCGGAAACCCAAGGAGCAGTTGCTATGAGTCGGGGCTGACTTCACGGCATATAACAACAACAAAACAAAGACCATACATTCTTCCATCCTGCTTTATAATTCTTTTAAATTAGTCTTCCTATCCTGGAAAATAGTACATT